TAGGCACTATGCCACCAGAGCTCCTTATTGAACCTTAATTAATCCTCACAACAAATGGGTAGTGAGTATTATCTCCATTTATTATGCAGGAAAATGAGGCTCAGAGAAGCCAAGAAACTTGCTCAAGGTCTTTGAGTTGAGGGGATCTAAAGTTGTGATGAGCTCAGGTTAATAGATGCCCTCCACAGAATGTCTGAACATTGTGAGATCACTGGTAGAGGGTGTGTGTGTGTGTGTGTGTTAACGTGACTGTGTGGGAATGTGTGTGTGAGTGTATGTGTGTGTGTTTAGCCAAGACTTGATCCCAAGTCTTTCTTATTCCAAATTTTTCACTCTAATTCCCTAAACCACAAATTTCACTGGCATAGTGCCTAATGTATTTGACTGCCAATAAGAAGGCTAGCAGTTCAAATCCACCAGCCACTCCTCAGAAGGAAGATTGGGCAATCTACTTCCATACAGATACTGCCTCAGAAACCCAAGGAGGGGTCTCTGTGAGTCAAATCTACTCAACGGCAGTGAGTTTGGTTTGTTTTTTTATAATAACCTAAAAAAAAAGAAGATGAAAGAATTCTAAGCAATCATTTCCTAGTGCTTTTTTCACTGAAGTGTGGGGTGTTAAGAATTAGTGTAGAAAGGAAGAAGAAAAGAGAAAAGAGGAAGAAAATAAATGCCTTACTATAGTGGTGTATATTTTTTAATTCAATAATAATTATTTTTATTCAATATATAAGCCTTTCACATTGCATATATTCTCCCAAAGTAATATGCTTGTTCTGTAATATAGATATTTGTGCACAAATAACCATCTCATTTAAAGAACTAGTTTAAAAATTTTTAATTTTAAGTGAGTACATGATAATTTTATTCTGGAAAATAAGATAAAATATCTATAATCTTATTTGGCTTTCTGAAAATCTTCTGCAGAAAATAATTATTTTATTAATGAATTAAAAATATAAAATATAAACTATATTCTAATGTTCATTATTATATATAAACAGTAACAAAATTTATAAGACAAGATAATTCAGTCTAGACTATTACAAAATGCTCGTGAAGTCTACTAAATGAAGTATTAAAATTAAACTTTTGCTGCTTAAAGAATACAAAATAATCAATGTATAATATTCTGGATTTCAGTTCATGAGTAAAATTTTAAATTAGCAAAGGCTACAACATTCTTATATTAAGTGTTTATAACTTCAAGTCATAATAAATTAAAACCTATTGATCTTAATGTAAACTACATCACAATATTTTGGAATTAGATGTTTTTTGTAACAGAAAAAATATTTGTAAAATGGTGATAGGATTAAATAATGGAGAAGGCTTAAAGCTTGTTTTCTGAGTTCTTCTATTTAAAGAGTCTAAACAATTGATTTCAATATGAATACCACCAAATAGTGGTCCAGTGGTAGGAGGTGGTATCAGATGGTGACACAGCAGGCAGGAAGTGGCTGGGACATCTTCAGGCTAGCAAGGCAATGGTAGCACAGGTCTTAGATGTATTTGTCAACTACATGTAACATCCCAGAGAAATACTCTGATATTTCTCTTTAAAGATATAAAACTCAACAAATGCACAATACATGCTACAAGGATGTTAAATCTACTGCAAACGGAGTTATTTCATAAAAATCCATATTACTAAAATACAACAAGAATCTTATAAATATAGCTGTTAACACAGTTAGATCAGATGTATGTATTAAAATAACTATCCTAAACACATAGAATGTTAGCATTCATTCGAGCTTCACAGGTGTTGATGCAGATGAAGATGCTGCCACACCTGTAATGCAAAGTCAACCAATAAGCAGATAAAGTGATAGACAAAGTTGATATTTTTTTTTTACAAATTAAAACATACTTATTAATTTTAAATAAGATAAAAAACATAAATTTCTCTATTTATGAGGATTATTCCTGAAATCTACATAAAAATTTAGTCCTATCAACATCTGAAACATCAGACTCCAACTTTCGCAATGGTGGACAAGGACAAAGTGTCCAGTAAGGACAAAGCGCTCAGAGATATTTAAAATGCCAGTGCATGCTGAAAAGGCTCTGCCAACATAAATGTGCTGAGTTGAACTAAATAGTGTGAGCAGAGCCAGGATGAGGTGAGTGGACAGGAGGGAAATGGTACAGCCTGTCAATCTGCATACCCTATCAGCACCTCAGAATGGACTCTGCATGTTCTATGTCCTCAAATACCAAGTTCCATGCATCCACACTAATTCTAGCCCCTTTCAAAGAACACCACCACACCAGTTACTCAAAGTTTCACTTTCTGGCAGTTAAAAAAATCTAGAATGGCTGTAAAACTTACATTAAAAAAAAATAAATACTCCTTTCTCTTGTGGAGGGAAAGAACCATTCATAAGAATCCTCAGCAATTAAGCCCAGAAATTTACAGCAATAGGCTCGAAGTGGAGGTTTTTCCAACCAGAAGGAAAAGAGCATGCTCTGGACTATTTATGGTTGTTAATAAAAATTAAAACCCAAGAAGGATAGCAGAACAAATAGAAGACACAGGAGTAAAAGGATATACAGAAAAGAAAAAGACCACCGGAATGAAAGAGGATAATGTGTGGTCTTTACTAGCAATAGCTTGGGGATCTGAAACACTGAGGAGGGAAACAGCACTCACTTCAGGAATGACACCCTCAGCGATCCAGGAAACAACTGGAAGCAGAGTAGCTCAGCCAAATGTTTGTCATTCTAGATTACAGGGTTTCACTGCTGATTTAGTGTTTAGTTAAATTTCCATGGCTAAAATTCTTCTCACATCAGTCATGCTTTGTTGCTAATCTAAATATATAGATTATATCAACTATTCAATAATTTACTTATAAAAATTTTATAAATTTATGCAAATATAAAATGATAGATTTTCGATTAGATTGTGCATCTTATTAGTAAAATAAATTCTATCACCTTAATACTATGTTGAAAATTACTACCAAATCTCATATCCAGGTGAGCCTCTTCTCTTACTGCTTTTTATATTTGAGTTTCTGCCACTGCTTTTTGGTTCTCTTTTCCATTATTTAAACCCATGTTTCTCTTGCATGATAAGGAATAAACTTATGTCTATGAATTGAACTCAAGTATGTAATTTTCTTTGATAATATATATAAAATTATAAAATAATCTTGTTGTAATAATGAAAGTGGTCTTCCATTTGCTGTCTCCAAATTGTATTTCTATGGCTGGGATTTTATTTTTTTTAAGTATATATGGCACATGACATTGTAGCTAGAATACACACAATATCAGGCTGCTGAGACTTCAGTTTCAAAATTAAGAATTATATCCATCTGTGTTTTTTGGTTGTTTCTGGTAAGAGACTTTTTATCTCTAGATGCAGTTCCACTTCTTTATGAATACTCACTTGGAGGAGAAGACTCTGTAATAGAGAACAAGGATATCAGCCATTCAATTAAATGGAACAGATCATTATTCAAAGAATTAATAGTGTATGTAATTATTAATCAGAGAATTAGTAAAAAGGTTATATTACTTAAGTAATAGCAAAACTAGTCATAAAACATAGCTGGCATTGTAAAGTCCAAATGTGCACTTTTTAACATCTAGTCTGGTCACTTATCCTACCCATCATGATGATAAGAGAATGGTATGTAATTAACAAAACTGGATGGAGCAGCAGGATACTCAGTACAGAGTGGGCACACCACAAATACCCAAGTATCCACCTCATGCAACCAAGGAGTTACCACTAGAGTTAGGGGCTAGATGTAGCAAGGCAAGAAGGAATCATATTCATATTAAATAAAAAAGTCACAACAACATTTCAAATGGTTGAAGAGACATAATACAATTCCTTCTCCCTTAATGAAAAAAAAGGCCACTTCAAGAGTAAAAGCAATGTGCTTAAAGGCTGTTGTTGTGAAATAAGTTTTCACCAAAGTCTATAGCAAGAGATTTTTTATTATGACATATCAAAAAAAAAAAAAAAGTGAAAGTGAATAATGGAAAACTGGCTGCAAGCACTATGGCTATGAACAGGCCAGAATCAAAGAAGTACAATTAATAGATATTTTTTTATACAATTTTAACAAGTGCTGATTCATTGTGAGTAAGGGTCTTTCAACATGCCCTTTACATTCTTTGGAGCACACACCTATGAGTAAATTACTTATATGCTATGATTCATAAAGTAAAAACAAAGAACTAAAATTATGATTAGGTAACCTTTTCTCTTTTTTTTTTTTTTTGTGCTAAACTATGGTCTCTTGGCTCAGGGGTTGTGGGTCTGCCATATGGTCATTGGCTGGCAGCCTTTAGTTTTGTTTTGGGCTTATTGTACAGATTATAAATGATATTAGGTAGATCTTTAACTCACTTTCTGGTGTACTATTATTCAATTTTGATACACACATCTACCCTCCATTGTCTGCCATCCTTTGGACAGTTAGAGCACTCTGTTCTGTGCTTTGAGCCTTCTGTTTATTGTTTGAAGGATCTATAAATCTTAAGAGACAAGTTAGCCATTGCTTATGGGCTGCTTTGATTTGATTAAACCTTCATCAAGGCACATAGTCAATAATTGATAGAGCTATGAAAACTAAACATACATGTAATAAGTTTAACAATGACATGTCCAAAAACCAAGAATAATTCTGTCTAAACTACCAAAAACCAAACTCACTGCTGTTGAGTTGGATCCAACTCATAGCAACCCCTCCTTGGGTTTCCAAGGTGGTATCACTATGGAAGTAGGTTGCCCAACCTTCCTTCCAAGGAGTGGCTGGTGGGTTTGAACCACCAGCCTTCTGGTCAGCAGTCAAATGCCATAGGCATTATGCCACCAGATTGTTAAAAATAGAAACTAATATACTATTTTGAACATTTAATTACATGGAATGTTCTAAATGTTTTATTTTGTAATCTCAATATCTTTGTTGATTTTTAACATGGTTTCTAGATCACTCATTTTAGATTACTCATTACATAATGAGATTAAGAAAACATCATTTGCTGCCATCACAATTAACCAAAACCTCAGAGAGAAAATAGGCTGCTGATTGAAGTTCACCTTCAGCTTTCTGAGAGCCCTCAGGAACCTCTGGGTCTGGAAGCATCTCTGTGTCTTGATGTCCTTTGGGATCCTCCATGGACTGAGATGACACAGACATTCTCGATGTCTGCAGGGTTCTCTTCTCTGAATCTACTTGCTGCTGTAACCACTCATCTTTATAACCATTGCTAATAAGTTTGGAAAAGTTTGTTGGTGAACTGGTTTTTTGACCAGGCCTCAAAAAGAGAAAAAGTAATGTCAAACTTAAGTACAAAAACCAAACAAAAAACAAACCCACTGTCACTGCGTCAATTCCCACTCATAGTTCCTTAAGATTTAAAATGGAAAGAGAGAGAGGTCTTCATTATGTTTCAAGGGATAATAATTGTTATGGATTAAATTGTGTTCCCCAAAAATATGTGTTTTAATTCCTATCCTCTAAGCTTGTGGTTATAATTCCATCTGGGAATGAGTTTTCTGTTATGTTAACGAGGCAGGTTTAATGGAGAATGTATCTTGAGTCAACCTCTTTTGAGATAAAAAAGAACTTACACAAGTGAACAGAGAGAAAGATAGGAGTAAGATAAATGATATGATACATGGAGATTCTCAATCAACCAAGAAGCAGAAGCTGATGAAATAAGGACTTTCTTCCAGAGCCAACAGAGAAAGACTTCACCTCAAACTAATGTTCTGAATTTGGACTTCTGGCCTCCTAAACTAGGAACTCTGCTCACGTAGCACCTAAGGCATATGATTGCTAACCAAAAGGCTGGAAGTTCAAACCCACCATCTACTCCTCAGTAGGTAGATTGGGCAATTTATTTCCCTAGTGATGCCACCTTGGAAACCCAAGGAGGGGTCACTATGAGTCAAATCCGACTTGATGGCAGTGAGTTTGGCTTTTTTTGGAAACTGTGAGACAATAAATTTCCATTTGTTAAACCTATCCACTTGTAGCATTTTTGTTGTAGGAGCACTAGGTATCTAAGATAAAACTCATATAGTTTATCAGTATATTCACTGCAAAATAATATTGATTAATTATTAACCTTTGTACTTAAGACTTACATGATTCATGCTGTGATATTATTAACCCTTCATCAAAGCACATGGTCAATAATTGACAGGGCTATGAGAACTAAACATAAGGGAAATAGATTTAATAAAGACATATTCAAAAGTCAAGGATAATTCTATGTATGATTGTTTAAAACAGAAATAAATATAGTATTTTGAACATTTAATTACAAGGAATGTTCCAAATGATTCTTAAGTACAAAGGTTAATAATTAATCAGTATCAGTTTTCATTATACGTACCAGTAATAAACTAGATGAGTTGTTATCCCTTAAAAAATAATGGAGAGGCTGAGAAGCAGCAGTACTTTAGTATGGCTCTGGTCACTCACTCCATCCCTTCTGCCCATCAGCCCAGCTGAACTGGGAAGACTGCTCCAGTGCAGCACAGGCTGCTTGCCCTGCTCTCCTGCCCACCAATCCTGCCAAGCTCCCTCTCCCTCCCCCCTAAATGCTGCTTGCCACTCCATTTCCCATACCCTGACCCAACAGGTGGCAGCAAGCATGCAACTGTGTGTACTCTGATCTGCCAGTGACACCCCCAACACTGTGTAACAGGCATGGTAGTGCACTTACCCACCACTCTCCCACTCTATCCATTGGAAGGCAGCAACTGCACCCACAGTAACCAGCCACACCTACCACATTTGTTGTCCCATCCACTGAGCAAGTGACACTGCCTGCTCCTGTACCACTGGACGAATGACAGACAACAGGCAACAAACTCTCCCATTTCAGCCTAAGTCACCCTGCAAGACCAGAAAACAGTTATCCATGTTCACGCATCCAGCCACTACCCCACAGATCTGCAGACAGGTAGTGAGTGCTCCACAGCAGCCAGACTAGTGACCAAAGTAACATGCCTATTTTGCTTGCCCAGATACATTAAAAAAAAAAAAAAAAAAAATCAGGATGTGGCAAACGAATATATAATAAAATAAATAAATAAATAAATATGATAACACCTTAATGACTCAGAAACAACAGACAATATCAAATCATCTAAAGAAGCAGGACAAGATGGCTCCAACAAGTGACTGAAATAAAGAACCAGGAGACCTCCCTGAGGAAGAAATGGTAATGGAACTAACCAATAAGTAATTAAAAAAATTTATACATGGGGCCCTTCAAGAGATCAAGGAATACACAAAAAACTCTAGAATAATTCAGGAAAACAATACAAAAAGAAAATAATAGACCATTAGAAATTATACAAAACAGCAAGTAGAAATCCAGAATATTAACAGTAAAATTTCAGAAATAGCTAATGCATTAGAAGGACAAAGGAGTAGGATTTACTCACTGGACTAACTCATTAAAATGGTAAAGGACAAATCCCTTGCTACCAATCTGTGACAGGAATAATCAGAAAAAAAGAATGAAGAAAAATGAAGAAAGTCTAAGAACTATATAGGAAACCTTCAAGAGCAATAATTTATGTGTGACCAGAATTTCAGACAAAAAGAGACAAACAGCAACAACAGGAAAAATTAAAAAAAAGCATTGAGAAAATTTTCAAAGATTTGCTGGCAGAAAACTTCCCTAATATCATGAAAAAAGAAGATATCCAAGAAGTTCAGCAAACCCAAATAGGATAGACTCCAAAACAAAATCACTAAGACATATTATAATAAAATTTTCTGAAACCAAAGAAAAAGAAAGAATTCTGACATTAGCTTGGGAAGAGTGAAATGTTACCTAAAAAGGAGAGCCAGTAAGACTTAGCTCTGATTTATCGGCTGAAACCATGCAGACAAGAAACCAATGGGATGACATATAAAACCATAAACCAAAAACTTGCCAACCAAGAATTACATATTGTTTAAATGACCATGAAATATAAAGGCGAAACTAGGACATTTCCAGATAAAAAGAAATTAAAGGAATTTATAAAAACTAGACAAACTATACAAGAAATCCTAAAAGAAGTCTTTTGGACAGAAAACCAACAAGGGCAAACAACAACCTGAGATTAAGACACATGACAACATTATCTGGAAACAAACCTAAATAAAACACTTTCAAAAATAAAATAAAGCTATAAGCCTGAAAACAGGGTACTGGCAAGATCAATCTGTAAATGATTACAACTATAAAACAAAAAGAGGAAATGAATGGTGTAGTTATAGAATTTTCATATAGGGAGGAAGTTAAGGTGATATAAAGATAGAACAGACTGCATGAATTTAGAATGATAAAGGTAAATATCAGGATAACCTCAAAGCAAATTGATTAACTTTCTCACCAAAATAAAAATGAAGAAAATCATAAAGACTCAGTAAACAAAAAATAAAAAGCAACAAAGAAATTAAAAGAATACCCATAAGCAAAAATAATTCAGCACAGAAAAGTATACAGAACAAAGAAAATCATTAGGACCATATACAAAAAAGGCATAAAAACATGATAGCAGTAAATTCTTACCTACTGGTAATTACACTGAATGTAAAATGATTAAATATACCAGTCAAAAGACAGAAAATGGCAGAAGGGATAAGAAAACATGACCCATAAATATGCTGCCTACAAAAGAAACAACTTAGACCAAAGATAAAAATAAGCTAAAAATCAAAGATGGAAAAAATATACCAAGCAAATGGCAACCAAAAAAAATAGCAGGAGAGGCAATATTAATTTCTGATAAAAATAGGCTTTAAAGCAAAAACCAGCATAAAAGACAAAGAAGGGCATTATATAATGACTAAAGTGTCAACCTAAGAAGAGGATATAACCATAATAAATATTTATGCAGCCAATGAAAGAGCTCCAAAATACATAATAAACTTTAAGAGAATTGAAGAGAAACAGACAACTCCACAATAATAATTTCAGACTTTAACACATTACTGCCAAAGAAGGACAGAACTAGAAAAAAAAAACTCAACAAAGATACAGAAGATCTAAACAACATAAGCAACCAATGTAATCTCATAGACATATATAGAATACTCCACCTATCAATGGCCTAGTTTTGGCCTTTTGTGTTGCCTGCCAATCTTAGAATTGTTCCTTGACTTGAACCAGTGGTCTGTTGTGTTTCCTGCTGATTTTAGGTACCATTTTACCTGTCCATCTTGGGTTTATCAGCCTCAGCAGCCTGCAGCTTCATAAGTCAGAAAAAGCTTCCATTTCTAATGGGCCTGGAACAGGAAGCAGAGCTGAAGCCCAAGGTCAAGGGGCCTTGACTCAGCCCTTAGAGCTGGCACATTGAACTTAGACTTATAGCCCCACAAACTTTAAGGGAATAAATTCCTGTTTGTTGAAGCCATCCACTTGTGGTATGTCTGTTATAGAAGTGATAGAGAACCACGACATCCACAAAACAAGCCTTAATAAACTCAAAACCACTGAAAGAATGGTTTTGAGTTTATTAAGAACTCAAAACATGATGCTATAAAATTAGAAATCAATAACAGGAAAAACAAGAGAAAAAAGTCAAACACGTGGAAACTGAATAACAAACTGCTTACAAACTACTGGGTGATAGAAGAAATAAAAAATAAAATAATTCCTAGAATCAAATGAGAATTGCTAAAGGAGCAAGGAGGCAGCATCTTCTGACTTCTTAACTCCACAAGAGGAAGACAGAATCACCAGTAGCAGCCCAAAGCCAGTTCCTGTGAGGCCAGCCTGCTGTCACCCTCCAGCCCTCTTACTAACCTTGACAACAATCATTCCTCCTGCAGCATTCACGCTCTCTCTGTTAGGTTTGATGATTCACTGTGGTGGCCATGCAGCACTCACAGATTATGGGGTTCATTAAGGAAGCAACAGGCTACAATTTAAGTTCAGGAACACACTCAGTATCTCTCAGCCAGCCGTCTCTCTCAGTCTCTCTCAAGAGCATGTCTCTCTCTCAGCAGTGCATGTCTCTTGCATCTCTCCTTCTCAGCAGTGTATCTCTCTCAGGTCTCTCTCTCAGCAGCACATTTCTCTCAGCAGAACATCTCTCTTAGCTAGCAGTCAGAGAGATTCCTCTTGCATCTAGGAAGGCTCATTTTAAGCCTGGCAGAGTGGCAAAACTAACCAATCCCAACATTAGAATTCTACACACCTGAGAGAGAGCGAACTTCCCAGATTACTTCAGGTGGATAACTTTAACAATCAGCTACTCAGTTACTCATGGCAAAGAGGGAGTTACAAATACTATGGCTAGA